TTTTCGAAGATGCTAATGGCATTCCATATTTTTGAAGTCCAACTTAGAGATAAGTTCAACTTAGGATCTTTGTGAAACACCCCCCTGGGTGGAGAATGTAGATTAATGGCTTGCCAAAAGGACATTAGTGCCGCGGCGGTACTCGAACCGCGAACCTTGTGATCCACAGTCCGGTGACGTATCCACCATGTCACCTCTATGAAAGCATACTTATGGAAACGTCGACACATTTAAAGCAAACATGATCATCATCATTATCAGTCAAATTTCCAGAATTTCACCACGTTTTTATTTCAAAGGAATTAAAACGCCCTTAAAAGGGCTACTGCCCCGTTAAAAGCTTTTTATTGAGGAGGGGCGCGGTCTCGACGTTTAGATTAGTATGCTCTAATCGTGATCAGCGTATAGCGCACTAACTAGTTACACTGAAATATGTACCGTTTTCATTAGGATGTACTCACTATTTACTGTAGAATGTAGACAATGAATAATGAACCATTTATTTAACAAACAATAATTCTACTCAAGACATGTACTTGTAAGTTGGACTTTAAAAAATCAGATATACTGTGCCGATAACAAAATGTGTAAGCTGTTCCCCTGTACCTTTTTATCTTTCAGGTTACTGCTACGGCATCGGTGCCGGCAGCGTAACAGTAGGGTTCTATGTCGGGCAATGCAGTGGCTATGGGACCTATGACTGCTACACCGGATGGATCAGTGGCAGTCATATCATGATCGAGGAAGTTACAAAGTCTTCTTACGACTAGTCACAAGAAAGCGCGGTGATAATCCAAGTTCCGGGTCCAAGTTTTATTGGCACTGTGGATGCACCGGGACAAGTTCTGAACAAAACTTGAAGGCAAACTATATTTCTGGACTATTAAACCTGAACAATAAATTGAAATGCTTGATAAACTTCAACAATCTTTGTCCGATGAAGAAAAGAAAAAAACGTTACCAAGGCAACAACCCGCATTATACTCAGGCGCGCCGGAAGCAGTTTGGGACTGGGGGGGGGGGGGGGGGGCAAACATTCCAGGGGGCTCACATTCCAGGGGCAGTGACGTAACGAGAAAATAAGTTCGGAAGGGGGGGGGGGGCAGACGAAAAATCTGCATCACCACCAGTCTTACACGTTACATGCAGGTCCCGCGGAACGTTTTACAAAGTGGAGTATTATCGATCAGGTAGAGCATAAGTTGGCGTGGGGTCCAGGGCATGAGCCTCGGCAGGGGGTCAAGGCAAGGGGCTGAGCCCCCGGAAGCTCAGGGGTTTCCGGGTATTTAATTACGGTTAGATGAGCATACAGGGGCTCTCTGTAAGGCAATTGACGTGTTCCAAGGGGGGGGGGAGAGCCCCCAGAAGCTCAGAGGTTTTAATATTTAACTACGCGTCAGATGAGCACCCAGGAGCCATGTTAGGGCCCTTGGTGTGGTCCAGGGGGCAGAGCCCCCGGAAGCTCAGGGGTTTTAGGTATTTAATTAAGGTCAGATGAGCATCCAGTGGGCCGCCGTAGGGCCCTTGGTGGGGTCAAGGGGGGCAAAGCCCCGGAAGCTCAGGGGTTTGAGGCATTTAATAACGGTCAGATGAGCTTCCAGGGGCCCGCCTTAGGGCCCTTGGTCGGGTTCCAGGGGCAGTGGCGGATCCAGGGGGGGCCCGGGGGCCCGCCCCCCCCCTTGAGAAAAAAAATCATGTAAAATCACGTGATTTTTACGATTTTTGGGGGTTGGGCCCCCCCCCCCCCCTGGCGCTCAAGGGGGGGGGGGTGCAAATTGAAATTTTTTGGAGGATCAAAAAAAAAAAAAAGTGCTCACTACCCCCCCCCCCTCCCCCCTTTCTTTCTTTTTTTCTTCTCTTTAACATACTTTTTAAAAAAGGGGGGGGGGGGGCTCGAGCCCAGCCACTTTGCAGACCATGACATAAAGGCTTCTAAATTAGCGTATTTCGCCTGACTGTAATTTGGGAATTTCTTATTTTCCAACAAACGCATAAAAAGGTATGACTTAAAAAAAAAATGGAGAAAAAATGCCGGAAAATCATGTCACAACATCAACATTTGTAAATCACTTGTTTCGAATAAGAAATACATAACCCCCCCCCCCCCTCCATCAGTACGCCAGCGTTTAGGGGCTCATGTCTTTTCACCCCTATAACAAAAAAAAAACGGACACGCTTTCACATTCTCGCACAATATGTCCACGATATGCTACGCGCGTATCGCTATTATAGAGACCTCCATTGATAAGTACCATATAGGTGGCATGCGCAATGTTTATGACATTTAATTCCTGTGAACTTTCCTTTTCTTTGAATGGAATTGTATATGTGATTTAATTCAGGTTTTTATTATTGTTACGTTCTTTTGGATTAAAAATACAAACCATGTTTACTTCTTTACTTTTTTTTTTTTGGAGGGGGGGGGGGGGGCGTTTTTTTTTTTTTTTTTTTTTTTTTTTTTTTTTTGGGGGGGGGGGGGCAAAAATGCGTTTTGTCCCCCCCCCCCCATTTTTTGACTGGGGGGGGGCAACTGCCCCCCTGCCCCCCCCCCCCCCACTTCCGGCGCCTATGATTATACTGACGTATTTTTAACAGTCTTTCTGAGAATGGGATCACGTAAGTTTTCATAGAACGACCGTAATCATGAGTTATGTATAGTGGAAAGTTTATGATTCATCATTTATTATGCAAATGTATAGTATAAAAAAGTTGAAAAAATAAATATAAAAATAGACCTTCAATGACGTCAGTTGTATTGTATGTTGCCGCCCATCCCTTCTGCATGCGCTCCACCATTGTCTTGAGAAACGACCACAAAAGGGTACATAAAATAAGTGATCTAATGAGCACGAAGTGACGTATTTGGAAAATAATTACCGTCAGCTAAATTTTGGTTCGTCTAAATATTGGGCGGTACAATTACTGATCGGAAAAGGAAAACTACTTTCGTATTACTGAGACTTGATCGTTAAATTGTGTAGCTCTTGTTTTCAACTATAAAATTTACACTGTAACAATGTCGGGTGAGACATAATGAGGGTAATCAATGTCCGACCAACTTTTGTAGGCAATAATTTCCAACTTGGACAATTTGGTGTTCATTTTTTTTTTAGTGAAAGGTAATTGTGGTCGGCCAAAATATTACACCAGGGCCATTTCACAAAAACGTGTCATCGGTGCAAAATAACAGTTTTTGTTATAAGCTACTGATAACTTTACTTCTGATTGGCTATCAGCAGATTTGTCACCGATTTTTGTCATTTGTCATTGAAAAAAAAGCTTTGTGAAACGGGTCTCAGGTGGGTGCAAAATTGTCTAAACGTTGGTCGAACTTTACGACTTCCCTCCTGTTCGGCAATTTTTACCCAACATTTATATTTACGGTGTATTCAATGTAAATGATATTGTTAAAGAGAAGGTTCATTGATTTAAAAAACTAACTTTAATGTCATTATCGCAAAGGTGACACTTTGATTGGCCAAAGTTATCAAAAGCTAATGCTTGGAAACATTCGAAGTAATGATTATTAACAATTACAAAACGCTTAGATAAAGCCCCGACAAAGCACCTGAAGAGGTCCCCGGTCGCTGCTGAGATATGACGTCACATGTTGAACATGATGTGCACAAGTAGACGATGTCCCATGACATCTCACACAATTATTTCAGTGCCTGTTTTGTCATCTTTTCTTCAGTTATTTCTCATACTTCAATACCCTCAGGCGAAATGTTTAATCTATTGCCTCACTCTTAACCCCGTGCATGGTATTATTTTGATGGAAAATGCAGGGATAAAAAAAATGGAATCCGTCGCTTGTAAACAATATAAGACGCCAATGTATTTTCAGCTGCATACACCGCGGCATGTTCGGCGTTTCAAGAGGGAACAAATGACGTCCATGCTATCATTCCGGAGGTTTTTTAATTTGAAAGTGTGATTTCTTTGATTGTTCATTAACCCATATCCTGTGTATTTACAAACAAAAGAATTTAGTTATCAGAATGAGGGTCATATCCCTTTTTGAATGGTGTAAAATTCCATCACATTTATATACACTAAACTCATTATAATTTGAGAAATAAAAGCATTGCAATTAATATGTCCATTCTTTATGGGATGTCGTCTGCTTGGGCAGGATTGGTTCATATTGTGACGGCATTAAAACATCGTTATTTTTCCGGCGAATCTCTCGCATATCCCAAATGCTATGGACGTTGTTTTATTTGTATTTTTATAAATCACCCGATATGTAGTTGACCTAAAAACTTGCATGATGGCCATCTGTTAGCTTACCAGTTTCTAGTAATTTTGCCATATTTGTGATTTTCTATGAACCCGCACTTTAACAACAAATCTCCACAATATCCACAGTTGCTGCTTGTTCTTATAAATTTGGGGCGTTGTGGCTCCCTCCCCTTGCTCCACTGCCCAAAATTATATGGGAATCAGTAGGGGAACCCATTTTTTTTATTTGGATGCCTCTCTTTTTCTGAGGATCTAGTTATATGACTCTTTGCGGGATTTTAAGGCACATTTTGTAAGCGACAATAGGAAATATATAAAAAGGGGCACTTATCAGATCATATATATGAGAACAGACACTTTTCATTAATTACAAAAAGGGAATTTCTTGGTAAAGTAATATTTTCCAGGGGGTCGACGATCATGATCATCAACATGACACTTTGTTGACGATGCGTGCTCTTTCTCTCTCTTCCCTCTAAGCAATATTTTTCTTTACCTTCTTCTGCGTCTCCCCCCCCCCCTCTCTCTCTCTCTCTCTACCCATACATATCTACCCCTCTTTCTTATCCTTCCTCTGCTCTTTAATTTATCAAACTATGCAGTACGTTATGTTCCTGAAAGTTCACTGTTTTATTGTATCATGTATAACTTTGAAATAGCAGAGTGTGATCAATCTAAAGAGCCATAGAGATCGATAAATAAAGCTCCGAGAAGATATAAACTTTATATATAAAGAAATAAAATCATATTCTCACAATCCGTGCATGAAAAGAAGTAAAAGAAAATATTTTAACTTTACAGACAACTGTCAGTGCATGTACAATGGATATGAGGAAGAAATTAATGAACTAAACAATATTAACGAAGGCGTATCCAAGGTTGTCAGAATAGGGCGAGGGAGGGGGTAGGGCGAAAGTCGACACCCTCTTGTGGCCGGTTCGGTCCGCCCATGGACAACCTTATAGATCCGCATAGAGTCATCATGAAGAAGGGTCTATGTTCTGTCCAACCTTTATCGATTTTGTACCTCCCCTTGAAGTAAACTCTCCTCACGATGTCTTTATTCCGAACAGTGGTCCAAATCGATTCGACGATTGTTAAAGTCTCCATCTTGCATTGACAAGAAACACGAAATGAATTATTTGTCTCGTTTTAATGTTAACGCAGCCCATAGCAGTGGTTGCATCTTTGTTGTACACACGGACTTCAATGCGCAACAGGGAAAGGAATATAGAGACATTGACTATATTTTAATAAGACACTTAGTTAGGGCATCGGTTGTAGATGCTATTCTACAAACACTTTGAAGGCAAATATAACTTGGAGAACTAAATAAGGAATAAACAAGCGAAGATGGGCTCAAATGATTGGATGGGTTTCTCCTCTTGGTTTCGTGTTGCTCTGCTTCTCCTGTGTTTCGCCATCTTGAGAGTTGTGGAAGGGGTGGAACAGGCAGAGGTCTACAAAAGGCAGATCGTCCTAGAGGTAATTCGTCGATCGGCTTCCTGCAAAAAGGACACTACCATCATGTATTGCAAATGGCTACAATCATGACAATGTCCTTTTAGCATTAACGTGACGAAACAAATTGTTTTACAAATGTTGGTGATAATTGTTTGTGAGAATATTTGTTGCTGTGTGTATATGTAAATATATGAGAGTGGAAATCCTCTCTTTTAGATGTCATTATTATAGGGTTCACTTCGTTTTGGAGAGGAAAATTATACTAGGGGAATCTACTCTTAAATGGGTAAGTTTAAGAAAAGGGAGTTCCCTCTTAAGAGGAGTAATTGAAAACAATGATACTCTCCAAATACAGGTGACCAAGAGCAAAGAGGAATAAAAGGGAGAGAGAGGGGGGGGGGGGGGGCAGGGGAAAAAAGAGAGAGAAAGAAAAAATAGAGAGAAAGAGATAGGTGAAGAAGAGAGAGGGAGAGAGAGAGAGAGAGAGAGACTTTTTCTTCTTCAAATGGTTAAATGAATGTTATTAGCAGTTGATTTACCCTGTAAAATGTTAAAAGTCAAGGTAACAATTACTCATCCTATTTTCAAACCGTGTGAAACTCATAATCTTCAAGTTTGATTAAAATAAAGATCGTTTTAATAAACCAAACAAAAGATGAGAGGAAGGAACGTGTTTCCCACCTATTTAGATAAGAATTATTTTGTACCAGTTGTTGTTGTTGTTATTTTGGCTGCCGCTGTTGTTATTGTTGTCAATATCATTGCTGCTGTTGATTTTTGTTTTTGTTGTTGTTGTTGTTCATTTTGTTCCTTATTGTCAACGTCTTGTCCTCTTGGTTAAAAATCAAAATGAAATTCCCCTAAGGAGAAACACACCATTCATTCCTAAATGGCATAATCTCTCACTAATCGTTTTGCAGGAATGTTCTGCAGGTTCTCCCGGGCCAGCTGGACCACCGGGTCCTCCCGGGCCCGACGGGGAGTCCGGGGCACCTAGTCCAGTAACCACAAACTGGAAACAATGCTCTTGGTCGTCAGTCAATGATGGTAGAGATTCGGGATTGTACAAGGTATGATGACGATGATGATGAGATTAATAATGATAATAATAATAATAATGATAATATTAGACACGGTAATAATCGTGCATGGAGCGCCAGGGGTGTCACGTCTGTTAGACATAAGAGCTATAAGAGAACCAACTATGTGTATTATATATTATCATTATTATTATTATTATTATTATTGTTATTATTATCAATATTACTATCAATATAGCGCTTAAAGAGATAGTTGAGTTCTGTTGCAGGAGCGCTACTCAAAATAGTATTTTTTTTGTGAGATAATGAAAAACTGAGTGTCAAATTTGAAAGAACAAACAATTTAAATGACAAAATCATCTTTGCTTGATCAAAATCGGTTCAGAGACGCCTGAAATATCCACAAATATCATAATTTCTAATACTTGTGTACCAACACAAATATTAGATAATTTGAAAAAGTTGTTGAAAAAACGAAATAGCGCCTTTTACGTCGTTTTTCAGCCAATGCCGGTGTTGGCTTTTTTGTTGGCGTTTTCGTGTTGGTTATATTACGCACAACCAGCCGGCCCATGTATTGTTATTTTTAATTACATAATTAACGGTCACCGTATTTTTTAAAAAGTGGAGCTGAATTGGTGTGATCGTATTGGCTTAATTTCACACATTGGGTCTAAAATTACCTTCATAGCAATTTTAGCAAGTGTCATAGATAAGAATAAGAGCAATAACCATGCACTTTGAAGGCATTTGCGGTCTGAAAACAGAACTCAACTATCCCTTTAATACATTTACGATGTCTGTAAACGATGGATCATATTGGGTCAGGGGCGTCGATAGATCATATAAAACACATAATCGCCACATTTCCAAATTTACTTTTGATCTTCGCAAAAATTCTACATTATTATTAAAAAATAGATATATAAATAAACATGAAAGAAGGAAAAGTATAATCGTTTTGCCTACAAGCATCTGAATATAAACAAATAATTGTCGATCAAAAAAAGATGTGGGGGGGGGGGGAGGGAGGGATAATTCATTAATTACAACCCAAACCTCTTCTCATGAATATATCATATTTTTTCTTAGTCCTGCTCTTTTACAAAAGAGTACTCCGACACAGCTATCTACGTCTCTTGGTCGGGTAACCTTCGGCTATCTGGATCAGGGACGGGGTGCTGTAGATGGTACTTTGCCTTCGGTGGTGTGGAGTGCTCCAATCCGAACAGGATCGAGGCAGTCGTGTACGCTTCGGGTTACAACAGCTATAGCCTGTATCGACCTAGGGTCATGATGGGTGAGTTATCAAAATAATTATCTTGAACGGGAAAATGTCAGGGAATTTCCGTATATAGGTTAACTCAAGTACGAGGTTAGAGGTGTCGTGGTCGATAAGATTAAACCCGTTAACTGGAGATGCGGAGGTCAGGGGTTCGAGCCCCGTTTAGGCACTAATGTCCTTTAGCAAGACAATAACTCACTTTTGCCATATCATTATGATAATAGCTACAATTATACTGCGCACGTATCCATCATAGCAAATGCTCAACGCGCAAAGTAGTATTATTACCCTTGCTCAGGACAGCTGCCCTATAAGGCGCTAATTGCATTCAGGGATAAATACCTTTACCATGCAGGTACCCTTTACGCCCCCCCCCCCCACTCCGGGAACGAAGGGACCGCATGCGTGTTCCCAAAATCTCCGGCTCGTAACAAAGAAAAAGATCATCTACCCGTATTGACTTTACACACCGGACTTATGCTGAAAGGGGGGGGGGGTGCTGAAAAGGCTCGTATAACAAAGAAAAAGATCTACCCGTAGTGACTTTACACACCGGACTTAGGCTGAAAAGGGGGAGGGGTGCTGGGAACATGCATATGCGTACCCTAAATAACACTGAATGGGGGGGGGGGGGCGGGCGGGGGGGGGCATTTACGATACCTGGGTGGAGAATGTAGATTGATGGCTTGCCAAAAGGTATTAGTGCCGCGGCGGTACTCGAACCGCGAACCTTGTGATCCACAGTCAGGTGACGTATCCACCAGACCATGTCACCTCTATGAAAGCATACTTATGGAAACGTCGACACATTTAAAGCAATCATGATCATCATCATTATCAGTCAAATTTCCAGGATTTCACCACGTTTTTATTTCAAAGGAATTAAAACGCCCTTAAAAGGGCTACTGCCCCGTCACAAGCCTTTTATTGAGGAGGGGCGCGGTCTCGACGTTAAGATTAGAAACCTCTGATCGTGATCAGCGTATAGCGCACAAACGAGTTACACTGAAATATTTACCGTGTTCATTAGGATGTACTCACTTTTTACTGTAGATAATGAATAATGAACTATTTATTTAACAAACAATAATTCTACTCAAGACATGTACTTGTAAGTTGGACTTTAAAAAATCAGATATACTGTGCCGATAACAAAATGTGTAAGCTGTTCCCCTGTACCTCTTTATCTTTCAGGGTACTGCTACGGCATCGGTGCTGGTAGCGTAACAGTAGGGTTCTATGTCGGGCAATGCAGCGGCTATGGGACCTACGACTGCTACACCGGATGGAACAGTGGCAGTCATATCATGATCGAAGAAGTTACAAAATCTCCTTACGACTAGGCACAAGAAAGCGCGGTGATAATCCAAGTTCCGGCTCCAAGTTTTATTGGCACTATGGATGCGGGACAATATGAAGTTCTGAACAAAACTTGAAGGCAAACTATATTTCTGGACTATTAAACCTGAACAATAAATTGAAATGCTTGATCAACTTCAACAATCTTTGTCCGATGAAGAAAAGAAAAATATGTTACCAAGGCAACAACCCGCATTAGACTGACGTATTTTTAACAGTCTTCCTGCGAATGGGATCACGTAACTTTTTATAGAACGACCGTAATCATAAGTTATGTATAGTGGAAAGTTTATGATTCATCATTTATTCTGCAAATGTATAGTATAAAAAAGTTGAAGAATATATAAATAAAAATAGACCTTCAAAGACGTCAGTTGTAATGCATGTTGCCGCCCATCCCTTCTGCGCTCCACCATTAATATCTTGAGAAACGACCGCCAAAGCCCAAAGGGTAAATAAAATAAGTGATCTAAAGAGCACAACATGACGTATTTGGAAAATAATTACCGTGAGCTAAATTTTGGTCCGTCTAAATATTGGGCGGTACAACTGATCGGAACAGGAAAACTACTTTCGTATTACTGAGACTTGCTCGTTAAATTGTGTAGCTGTTGTTTTCAACTATATAATTTACACTGTAAAAATGTCGGGTGAGACATTATGAGGGTAATCAATGTCCGACCAACTTTTGTAGGCAATTATCTTCAACTTGGGCAATTTGGTGTTCATTTGTTTTTGTGAAAGGTAAGTGTCACTATGAACATGACGCACAAAGAAAGCGGACAAAATATACAGTTCCTCAGGTAGACAAAGGAACATCCCTTCACTGCTATTATGTAGAAAAGTGAATATGCATGTGACACCTATTCTACACATTTTTACGTAATAGTAGTGAAGGGATGTTCCTTTGTCTACCTGAGGAACTGTATATTTTGTCCGCTTTCTTTGTTGGTCATATTCATAGTGTGTGGTCGGCCAAAGCATTACACCAGGTTCCCATTTCACAAAAACGTGTCATCAGTGAAAAATATCAGTTTGTGTTACAAGCTACTGATATCTTTGCTTCTGATTGGTTGTCAGCAGATTTGTCACTGATTTTTGTCATTTGTCATTGAAAAAAGGCTTTGTGAAACGGTTCTCAGGTGGGTGCAAAATAACGTTGGTCGAACATAACGACTTCCCTCCTGTTCGGCAATTTTTACCCAACATTTGTTTTTACGGTGTATATATGTAAAGGATTCTGTTAAAGGACGGGGGCAGGAGAATAGTCCTTTCTACTTCTCGATCAATATTTTTAGGCAGAGAATAGTAAGGAAACAAAAATCGACTACGTATCCGATCAATAGAGATGGGTGTTATATACAAACGCCCCCCACTGGAAAGTATTCCAACTTGCTTCAGATGTTTTTGTTTCGTGCGGAAAATTTCGATCTAAACATCCATTTCCAAGAGATGCTTTTATCGAAGTTAGTTTTCGAATTGATTTGATTTCAGGTTGATAATTATGAATATATTATGTAGTTTGTATCATAGTAATAGATTTATTTGCATTCGACGAGTTACCATTCTTATGGTTGTGAAATTCTGTTCAAATATTCATTGTTTTCCATGTGATTTATATTTATTATCATCTGTCCATATCAAACAAGGTCCATGTATAGGGTTATTAAATAAATCCAATTATTTTCGCCTCTCAATTTTCACCGGTTCTTAATTTGAATATTAGAATCGTTACGCCAGTTTCAAATATTTGTGTATTTTGTAAAGTTTGTAACTGGAGGGAAGGTATGGCGATTTTTAACGATATAATTGGCCTTATTAGCCACCGCATGCACATACTCCTCCCCCCCCCCGTATTTTCAATTCATTTGTATGACTTGAATAATATTGTAATGATCAATTAATACATTATAAATGAATTGCAATGAAAACTGGGTCATACTATTCGGAATTAATAACGGACCAATAGAGCATTTTGATGTCACAGTATACAGTTAACGAACACATTATTCATACCCTTGTAAATTTGACGTTTTTGCGTTTTTCGTAACTCAACAAGTAAAAGGTGAACTGGTTGAACTAGGGCCTTTATTAAATACTTTTAGATGTAAGTTTTAATAAGTCACATTCTAAAGAAACATAAATCGGGACAAAGCAATTTTTCACACTCTTAAAAATTAAAAAACTTGGTAAGGGTGTGAATAATAATTAGTTGTTAACTGTGCATACTGTATATTATGCTCACTAGGCCTAATACGTTAATCATAACTACTTCTATCATTTTTAAATTTACCCATTAATTTGTGGCAAAAAGAGCTAACATGACATAATTTATACGCTGTGTAATATTGATCTAAATTTATATCAAACCAAAAAAATATTTTTACGTCACATTACACTGTGCATGAATCATACCTAATTTCATTACGTATTTGTAGATGAAAAAGTTAAATAAAAGAACATGAATCGAAAACCCTGAATACGTGTGTATTATTGTTGTTCGCTGTTATATAGCCTTGTCCATTATTGTCGTATTACGTAATCTGAACGAGTCTTTTATGGAATGTGCATTACAGTCAGGCCTAATGTTGTATTGCCCTTTGCGACCGACCCGAAAATCTTGAAATCTACGGTCGGCTTTAAAAAAAATTGTTTTAATTTGTTTTAAACCGTTTTTTAGAGAAAAAAAATGTATACAAAACTGAAAATAGCCTCAAGAGGGAATTTTTTTTTTAAAAGTTTAAAAAAAAAAATAAATCCGACCGACCGACCCATGGTTTGGCACCTAAAGGGCAATACAACATTTTTGTATGCCTAATGAAACTGCACTTGAGTTCAATTTTCGAAAGCCTTCGCGATCGTGTTATGTAATTAAAATTCTCGTTTATAGAGTTCAATTTAGACATGTAGGTAACTAACATGAGCAACTATATTCTATTGGGCAAGGAAGAGAATATTGAACGCAAGCAGAATGGAAACAACCGCATGAAGTGTAGCTTGAACCTTGAACTCAAAACCTTGAACTCTGAACCTTGAAGTGATCATCCTTTCCAGGTGTACTGGCGTGAATCCATGCTCCCAAAAAATGCTCATATTCAAAGAAAAAAGATCAAGACATGAGTGGTCACAGATTTCATTGGACACTTCAAATGGGAGGGGGCGTACGGACACCTAAAATCATTTTTCCTAAAAAAATGTCGACAGAGGTTGAAAACTATCATTATTTCCGTTAGATGTTTAGATAGGAGTGTGCCACTAAAATGATACCCACACGCGCACATAGCGCACAAACACAAGGGGATAAACAATAACAAAAAGTAGATTTACGTCACACTATTGCATTGGACGGTGGAGTTTGGAGACATTCCCGAAGCTGAGGGTGCCTAGGTCCCGGGAGCAGATCTATCAAGAAAGAGTAGAACCTTTTTTAGAACCCCTTGAAACACTTCCCCTTACGAAGACTGTTACACAATAGTATATCGATCTAATCATTCTTTAAACTTCCTACTCTCACTGAAGTGCTCCAACCAAAACAAGATCGAGGCAGGGGTGTACGTTTGGGGTTACGACAGCTATAACCTTCTCAGGCCAAGGGTCGTGATGGGTGAGCAAATATGTACAGTGGCGTAGCGTGGGTTATGTCATAGCGTTGGGGGCGGTTTCCTAAATGTCATCAATAACAACTGCCACAGATCTATGAAAAATGTGCACTTAGCCAATCAAAGGGAAGGATTTTAGTCAGGGGCAGCGGAGCGACTTCCCTAAGTGGGGGGGGGGGGGGGACAACAAAAAGGACACTTTCTGGAAAAAGGGCACCTAGAAAGAGAAATCGCATAGCGAAAATATACCATTTTATAGACATTGGTATATACCACTATACATTATGATTACATTATCAGGGATGATTTCAATATTTGTTTATCTTTATACACCATTCAAGATAGGGTAGGTGTAGGGAATGGAAGACCGTAGGGAATTGGAGACCACCAAGCTTGAACCCATCACTGTTTGTCCGTGTTGGCTCTAATATTGCTATAGCGCCATATGTGGCCTTTAATAAGACTACTGCATATATCCAATTCATTTTGAAGACTACAATGCGTTCTTTTTCCGAGAAAATTGGCAAAATTGACCAATGTAAGCAATTTTGATCGTAAAACTTTGCTCTGATATAAAAACACAATTTTCACTGACTGTTGTGATGTATGCAGATATTTAGGGGTGGCTCTTAAAAAGTTGTTTTAAAAGGAAGTTTATGAGGTGTGCCAACCATCACAGAAAAATTATGGCCATTGTGTGTTGTGAATGGGTGTTGCAATGCACATTATGAATGGTGTCTGGTCAGAAATGTGTGTAGGCAATGGGGGACACCAGGTCCAAGATGGGGGCCTACTTTCCCCAAGTTGTTCATTTCATGTTGAAAGGCACTATCATGAAACATATTTGGTTGTTCGTGTCGATCACCATTCTAATTTCAATGCATTTTACTTTAAGAAGTTGTTTCTATGCTGTAAGTTTGATCAATGTAAACGTCACATTACCAGAACATTATTCTGAAAGTATTTAAACATAATTTAAAGCACCTTTATTACTGTAAACAAAAACCTACAGAAATATTTTGGGCCACATTGTTTTTAAATCGTTTCAAAATTACAGTAAGTTCATTGGCTGCATGTATCTCTTTCAAAAAGTGTTTGAACTAACTATAACAATCCCATTTTCATTCGAATTGTATTTAAAATGTCTTGATTTGTAACTGTCCCTATTACCTACACATGTAGGTAATGGGAGACGTTTGGTAATGACGTCATTAATCATTGTTATCTTATTAATCAGTTACATCATGACCCCAATTTTGTTACCAAATAAAGAGAAGAAGTTACTGAAGAGAATACAAAACTTTCTGTATGTGTAACATTTTTCATGTTTATGTAAAAAATTATGCAAATGTGCTTAAGGGTCTCCAATTCCCCCAAACCTACCC